TGAATGCCCTATCAAACGAGACTGCTTGTTTTATATTTCAAAACAGTACGATATATCAAAACAGTACAATATATCAAAACAGAACAATATATCAAAACAGTACGGAATCAAGACAATATATTTAATTTGTTTCATATGCCATTTTTAAAAAAATGGATAGGCTAAATTATGCGATACATTTAAAATATTAATATAATCTATTATCATAAATCCAACTTACTTATAATGTTATTTAACAACGGTAAATTGGATATGATATCAAAACGAAACTACCGCTAATATATTTTAAAAACAGTTCGTTCCCAGACACTTTTTTATTGGTTTATGAGAAGGGAATAAATGTGGACTCCAGAAGGAATTAAGTTTACCTGTCATTTTGTTTTCTGTTCCTTGTTATTTACTTTTTTAATTTAAGAGAAAACTTATTTAGATATTGAAAAAAAAATAACAGGTTAACCTCATTCCATTTGGATTCGATATATATTTCCCTTTCAAAATGAATGTGAACGAACTGTTATGTATTGTTTTTGTTGTGCGTGCGTGCGCGTTCGTGTGTGTAAAATCATCATTTCGATTCTCTTTAATGCATACGCAGTGAAATCTTTGAAGCGTTACGAAGCGCTTGCAACTGAGACGAATATTTTGTCGAAAGCTTAATTAATGAACAAAAAACCCAGCTCGAATTCGTTATTCCTTCATTATCAGTATCAATATTATCAATATTGACAAAACAGGGGTATCGATAGAATTCTTAAATAAAATAATTTTTATGCGTTTTTCATAATACAATGTAGTGTAGGGCTAGAGTGTTCCCTCTGTGAGTGTGGAGACACTGGTTCGAATCCTGGTAAAGGTATTTTTTCTTTTCTTTATTTTTTTGAAAACATTAGTTGAGTTTGGACCTTTTTACGTCGAATTTCAGGATCATTTAAACATATTTAATTTAACCTGTACTATTATCAATTCATAATTATCAGACTCTGTCTTTTTTGTACGTTTATAGATGCCCTCTTTGTCAAATTTACTGAAGCGAAACAAAAACTCAGTAGAATCCCTTTAATTATATAAATATTTAATTATCTAAATCTATCTCATTAAATTATTTATCCCCATTTTTATAAAAAATATTTTGGATAAGATAAATGCAAGAAATTCTGTGCACAAAACAAATTGGAAATCGAGTGGGATAGGGTGAATGGGGCACATATAATGAAACATTATCATAGAAAGAGTCTGATGAGTTGTTATAATTGCCTGACATGAAACATTTGATAAAAAATAACAAAACGTTATTTATAAACTGCATCTCCATAGAAAACAGGCCACAAAAGAAAAAAAGTTTGAATAACTTTTAAATACGGACATCTGAATTACAATCGTAGAATTGTTCAGCTTCAGGAGTACCATAATACGGTTTTACGACACCATCTTAAATATTGTAACCCTCGCACGAATTACACTTCACCCGACATCCAGAATGAGTTAGTGTTCCATATGGCGAGATTATCAGTAAAAGCATTGTGGAGGCATGTAACGCCCCTCCATTATCTGGCTTTATCGCCGACGAGGCCAAGGATGCGTCGACAATGGAGCAAATGGCTACTGTAACTTTATATTGAGTTCCTTTGTAAATTTATGTGTTCGTTTAAACATATGCGTTGTTGTATCTCTTCACGTTTCAACACATTTATAGACCTAAAATAAATATGATTTGGACATGGTCAACGTCATTATAAACATGCAAAATAACATATTATGAAAAAATCACAGAACGTTGCGTACTCCACGTACAGTTACTTTATAACCATACGTAACCAAGTTATCTGCTTTATCCAAACATGGCAAAAAGAATGCAAAACGTTTAAGTTACACTTGAAGCGCGTCAATGAAAGAAAAAATACACTTGTTTACTGTGTCTTTTAAGTACAATAGATATATTCATGTGGGATCATTATTAAATTTGATTGAACTCGTATAATAAATAATATTGTGCTCGCGATATAATTTTATTTAACACTGTATTTGTTTACACAAATTTGATTGTGATTTTTTGTGATAAAAAGAGACTGACATTAGTTGTCATTACTTAAAAAAAATCTTAAACTTATTATAGGTTCGCTTTATGATGTTTTCATTAACTCGTTTTACAAAATTCTATAATCATATGACAACTCATGTAAGATCAAAAACATGAACATACTATCGTAACTGTGATAAAACAATGATTTTCAAATCCACTCACTTTTGTTTTATTGTACCGGCCTTTTGTATAGACATCTCTCTTATCAATTAATAAAAAATATTCAATACCGAGAATTTACTGCTTAACCACGATGGAATCAAAATGCATAGTTGATGTATGCTTATTGTGATTGAATATACTATATAACACACTGAGAAATGAGAAAATAACAATATTTTAACGAAAACGAAGTGCGCTTCTCTATGTGTGTTTAATACTGCAATTATATCGGACAAAAAATAATTTCAAACACTAAAGACTTTTTTATTGAAGGTCAGTAGTGGTAGTCTGACTGTCAAGATTAACCAGGCATAAAGTATGCTTTTAAAATGTTTCTAAACAAAACCTGTTGAAGTCATAAATTATACGTAGCTAAGGGAGACAATTCTTCAGTAAACAGTAAATTGCTGTATTGCGGTGTTGTCCCCCTTAGAAGTAAGTCGGTCCAACTGATGTTAATAGATAAATAAATCTACATGTATAGAAAAATAAATTTATTAACACTTTGTGTGTGTTCAGATTTGTTTACTCTCGTCACCGGAAAATTATTACATGGGCGACTGTAACCGGATATATTTATGTAGGCCAGTAGTCAAATTTTAGAGCTCCTTTTTGACAAAGATATAAATTCTTCTTAATTCCATTTTGGACCTTGTTTTGTTTTATTTTCTCTTCTGTTTGTTTGTGTGTTTGTGTTTACTGTTGTTGTTTTTTTTTGTTGTTGTTGTTTTTTTTTTTGGGGGGGGTTGTTGTTGTTTTTGTTTGTTTTTTTTGTTGTTTTTTTTTTTTTTTTTTTTTTTTTTTTTTTGTGTGTGTTTTTTTTTTTGGGGGGGGGGGGGGGGGGGGCTATTTGTTGTTTTTGTTGTTTTGTTATTTGTTTCTTGTTTGTAGTTGTTGTCGTTTTCTTTTGTTTTTAGTGAATACTCAGGAAAACAGACTTATTTTATTAAATTCTATGATATGATATAAATATCTGATATATTGAATTATGTTTAATGTAAAGTAATTTTCTGGTATTTTCATTATATCCCTTGCCTAACTGTATAATAGCAAAGTCGTACAAGATTACACGATAACGAGTGTATCATACAATTTTGTAAAGAACTAAAACCGGATTTTAAAAACGTAAACATTTAATCAAGTTTTGAGCAGTATTACACTTTCATGTCATCTAAACATTTTGTCTGATAATCTTAAAATTCATGTCGTCTTGCTGTGTTGTCATATTTATATAATACGGAGCTATATAATCACTCCACGGTAAAATCGTATACATGTAGCTTCAATGTACAAAATGTAAGAAACGAATTCAATGACTGTTATTTCATTATCTTTGTGTCTGATTACTGGTAAAATAAATTACTAATAACAGAAACCTGGCAAACACTAGTGTACATATTGAACGATATAACTGTTTTTAATGTCCTAGAGCAAAATTAACAATATGGGCAAAACGTGAAAGTGGGGGCATTGTTATATATTACAAAGAAATGTATGAAAATGCCCTTTGTATCTTGTAATATATATAAGACTATATAAAATTTGCAAATGCTGATAGAGATTATAATTTTTCGTATGTTTCATTCCACTAGAAAAATCACTTATATACAGACATGTTAATTCATTTTTTTGTTCCAATTCTACTTTTTTAACACTTTAATACCGATATTTGAAAATGTAGGAACATTGGTGGCGTATATATCTTAGGTGACCTGAATTCAAGCACCGTTGAACTGTATGATTGTAAGTATTGCCTTTATTTTCATTATTTGATTGATCTATTTCTATGTATTTTATTTAATTATTTTTTATTTTTTATCTTTAAGGTCTTATGACATTTATTATCGCATTATGACACTTCCTATTAAATGTCAGTGGAACAAATTGTACGGGCTTGGTGTGGTTACAATATGGGGTGTCATGGGCCCCATATTGTGGTTACGCCACGGAACCTTGTCACTTCATTTGTGTTGTCGGTCAGGAATTTTCATAGTGCGGTTGCATTATGTTATTAGTATTTTATCTCATCTCTATAAGTCATACATAAGTATCTCTAGTCTTATTTTTGTATTAATCATGCACATTAGTTTGTCTACAAGCTGTATTTACACATTTGTATTATATTGTTGTTAATGCTCATTTGTTTGTAAAATTTGCTGTTCATAACACTGATGCCCATATGGGCCTAGTTAAAAATAAAACTTGAAACGTACCTTGACAATCATATTAACTTGCCGGGATATGTTGGTCAGTCTTCGAAATTGATATCGCGTGAAAATTATGATAACATTTCAATCCTTTTAAGATTAAACTATTGATATTTGGGATTAAACTATTGATATTTGGGATTAAACTATTGATATTCTGAGAATTAAATATCTTGCATATAGTAAACGTGCGTCTTACTTCAGGTTTCACTGTATTCAAAATTGTAAATCTGTGTCAAGTATTGTACATTATTTGATTACAAATTACGATTATTTAAACATGTAGGTAATAAATGTGCATAAGATATGAATGGATATTATGACAATAATCCTATATATTTTCTAATATACTTTAGGGACGCGAAAGCATACGTCGAATTATGCAGATTTTGTCGAATTAGATAGATTTTCATTACCTGTTAAAGCTGAAGAAAGAACAAAGATGTCTTCTATGTCGCTGGAAAGAACAATAAGAGATCCTGTAACTCTTTTTTTATGGTTTTATATCAAAAATATAATGCTCAAATGAAGATTTATCAATATAGTAAGTTCTAAAATGCATTATCTGTAAAGAAAAGAAATTTCATGTTAATAAAGGGAGGTAATTAGAAAGCATAATTATATACATAAATAAAATTTCACTAAAGTGTGATAACAACTTTAATTACAACATATTAGAAATAGGTTAGAAATAAAAAAAAAATCTATTAATTTAACATCTACAATACATATATGGAGCAATGGGTAAATGGAGATGGTCTTAGTTATACAAACCAAGTACATTCAATTTGCCTTGGTTCAATGCGTTGATATGTTTTGCTTATTCATAACATACGCTTAAAAATGTTAAAGATTTGCCGAACTGAAGCACAGAAAAAATCGACTGACTGGAACCCAGGCTAACATTCAATCATTAACCACCTTTGTTTGATTCTCGGAGTTATGGTGCCATCTTGATGTTACTATGAATATATTAACTTTCGATAATAAGAACATTAAGAGACCTGTTATTTAAAGAAAGGATAAAACATCAAAACTAAATTAGTATAGAAACTTTAAGTCTATATTTTGTTATGAAATATATTTACAATTGTATATAATTCCTTCAGTCCTTTCTTTAAAGCGCTTTGATACAGACCCCCTCTAATAGCCTTTTTACTACAGTCCTTTCTTTAAAGCGCTTTAATTCCTACACACCCCTTTGATAGTCTCTTCTTTACAGTCCTTTTTATAGCGCTTTCCTACGGTCAAACGTTGATTGCCTTTTCCTACAGTCCTTTTTAAAGCGCTTTCCTGCGGTCAAACGTTGATTGCCTTTTCCTACAGTCCTTTCTTTAAAGCGCTTTACTACAGTCCCTCTTTGATAGCCTTTTTCTTATAGTCCTTTTTAAAGCGCTTTCCATCAGTACCCCTTTGATATCCTTTTCCTAAAGACTCTCTTTATTTTTATATAATTAAAGCGCTTTCCTATTTTCCTACTGTCCCTCTTTGATAGCCTTTTCCTTAAAGTCCTTTTTAAAGCACTTTCCTACAGTTCCCCTCCTAAAGGTCTTTCTTTAAAGCGCTTTCCTACTGTCCTACGTTGATTGCCCCTTCATACAGTCCTTTCTTTAAAGAGCTTAACTACAGTCCCGCTTTGATAGCCTTTTCCTTACAGCTCTTTTAAAAGCGCTTACCTACAGTCTCCCATCGATGGCCTTTTCCTTCAGTCCTTTCTTTAAAGCGCTTTGCTACATACCCCTGCTAATAGCCTTTTTACTACAGTCCTTTCTTTAAAGCGCTTTAATTCCTACACACCCCTTTGATAGTCTCTTCCTTACAGTCCTTTTTATAGCGCTTTCCTACGGTCAAACGTTGATTGCCTTTTCCTACAGTCCTTTTTAAAGCGCTTTCATACAGTCAAACGTTGATTGCCTTTTCCTACAGTCCTTTTTAAAAGCGCTTTACTACAGTCCCTCTTTGATAGCCTTTTCCTTATAGTCCTTTATAAAGCGCTTTCCTACAGTACCCCTTTGATAGCCTTTTCCTAAATGTCTTTCTTTAAAGCGCTTTCCTACTGATCCTCTTTGATAGCCTTTTCCTCATAGTCCTTTTTAAAGCGCTTTCCTGCAGTCCCCATTTGATAGCCTTTTCCTAAAGGTCTTTCTTTAAAGCGCTTTCCTACAGTCCTACGTTGATTGCCCCTTCATACAGTCCTTTCTTTAAAGAGCTTAACTACAGTCCCGCTTTGATAGCCTTTTCCTTACAGCTCTTTTAAAAGCGCTTACCTACAGTCTCCCATCGATGGCCTTTTCCTACAGTCCTTTTTAAGCGCTTATCTACAGACACCCATTTGAAAGCCTTTTCCAGTTTAAGTCTTTTTTCGAAAAGCTTTCCTACAGGCTCTCTTTGATAGCCTTTACCTACAGTTATTTCTTAAAAGCACTTTCCTACAGACCCCCTTGATAGCCTTTTTTACAGTCCTTTTTAAAGCGCTTTTCTACAGACACCCTTTGATAGCCTTTTCCTAATTCCTTTCTTTAAAGCACTTTGCTACAAACGCCCTTTGATACCCTTTTCCCTACAGTCGTTTCTTTAAAGCGCTTTCCTACAGTACCCCTTTGATAGCCTTTTCCTACAGTCCTTTTCAAGCGCTTTCGTACAGACCCCCTTTAAAAGCCTTTTCCTACAGTTCCCCTTCGATGGCCTTTTTCTACAGTATTTTTAAGCGCTTTCATACGGTCCCTGTTTGATAGCCTTTCCCTACAGTCCTTTTTAAAGCGCTTTACTACAGTCCCCCTTCGATAGCCTTTTTCTACAGTCATTTTAAGCGCTTTCATACAGACCCTCTTTGATAGCCTTTTCCGTTTACAATCCTTTTTAAAGCGTTTTCCTATAGTCCCTCTATTATAGCCTTTTCTTTAGTCCTTTCTTTAAAGCACTTTCCTAAGTCCCCCTTTGTCAGTTCTTGCTTGCAGTCCCCCTTTTGATTGCATTTTACTTACAGTCCTTTTTAAAGCGCTTAGCTCGATTATTCTGCGAATAGTCGAGCTAAAAATAACATTTCTTTACTATAGCATATAATCCAATATTAAAGAGACATAAATTATTTAACTTATATTTCTCACATTCAGCATAATTACTTCCCTTTCAAACAGTCTGGTAAATAACTTTTATATCTCTAGAACTTGTTCCTTGCAGGCTGAAGCCCACAGGGTATTGGTACAAGTTTAGTTTTTGAGGCATGGAGGAGCACATGACCTGTTTTCGGTACATGGAGGGGCACGTGGTATGTAAACCCGCTACTAAACTGTATATAATTGGTTAATTGACCTTTTCAAAAACCTAGCTAAACACCGTTTTCCAGTATGTTACGGATTTAGCTCTTGGGAAGAACACTTAATAATACACATAACACTATTATGTGTATAGTACTATGACATCTCTATTTTTATATCATTATTTAACTGTTTAAGGTGAAAAACTTGATGTGTTTGAAAATTATTGATGTGCCTTTAATATCTATCTTAAATTTTACAAAAAAAATTAATTGTTTATAATGAAAATCTATAAAATTAAAACATTAGTAATGGCATCTGCCATAATAAATAAATATACAACATGTAGTATTTTCTGCGTAAACTTCATTTTTTTGCACGGAATTATTCACACAATGGTATTTAAAAAAAAAATCAAAAAGCCAAAATAATTGTTTTATTTCACTGAAATAAAAAAAATACAAAAAACATACAGATTGTTATAACAACCCATCTATGAATGATAAAGATGGCCTAATCGACCCTCTCTGGTCTTCACCAGTCACCGGTCTCCAAAGACCTTGCTCTTTTGATCGATCATTACAACTATATTATCAATGCAATTGTGTCTTTTTTTTGTTTAAACAATTTTAAAAAGAGTTAAATGAAATGCCTTTAAATTATTTAAAATTTCCCCTGCAGGAAACCATTTTAAACTTGTAACTTACCTTGTTGGAACACAAAATCTTGACTATCAACATCAAGGGCAAGTAATCTCTGTAGTTTAAAGGGGTATACACCTTTATCATCTACAGGTAAGGCAAGAGTTTTAGAATCTGTCGTATGTACAGGACCTCCAACAATTGACAGCACTTGTAAGTAACCCTATAAATAAAACATAAATAAGTAAACTTTTTAATATACAAGTCAATAAAATAATTAAAAAGAATACAAGTTAATAGATGAGACTTATAATGTTTACTTATATGTTCACATTTATCGGAGGAACAGTCAACTTCTTTCAGCTTACTCGATAGTCATTTCACATAAACAAATTCATCCCTTTCCAGAATTTGGTATCAAATTTGTGAGGCATTGGTTATAAAAGGAAATAAACAACTCATATCTATATAATGTTTATCCCATTATTGTCACTGGTTACTGTACATTTAGGTGCTCATTGACAAATATGCTTTTGACTCAAAATTCATTGGAGGTAAATTATTACCACTTTGTGCTTCAAAATCAACACTTTAAGGACATGAATGGCACAAGTCAGGGAGCCGTTCTTGACAGTGAAAAAGGGGGAATTAGTGCATGCACCCTTAATAAACATAGACTACATACATATATACATGCATAAATATACTATATGTACCCTTTATCATCTAAATGGATTATTATTTTTGACATGTGTCCAGGACTGAAACATTGAAACACCTCAATATTTGATAAATAAATCTGTCCACAGTTCATGATGGAGTATATAACAGAATTTGTCCATTTAGCTTTATTATTTAATAAGTTTATCCATGGGAAGAATTTGCACTAAAACTTGGCTTAAGCATTCTGGTCAGAAATGAAAATTAGCTAAAATGTTGTCAAAAATAAAATTTCTTCGGTTGCCATAAAAGTTGATATGTACACAGGAAATATATAAGTTTGAGATCACAGGACCATTGAAAGTGTGAAAATTGTAAGCTATACATACTAATGAGTTTATAGCAATGAGTCTGGAGCTATCAATACTCCATGATATATCTAGTGGAGGCTCGTCATTCTTGCTGTTGTAGGCAAGTACTCTGATAGGTCGCCATGGTTTCATTAATACATCATATATCATAATGTCTCCTATATAAAACAACATGTACATTATGTTAGATACACAATGTTTAGTAATGGTAAAATAATGCCAGTTTAATACTATATCTTACCTGATTTTTTATGTTGTTTATATTTGTTGAAATGTTTGTTTTAAAGTTACACTAACACTGTATTGGTCATTTTACAACTTTCCAGATTTTTTTAGAAGTGCCTGGCTCCATACAAAGTTGAACCACCAACATTCCATAAAGAAGCTAGAATATTATGACATGTTGCCAAGAAAAATAACTAAATTGGTCGAAAAATCTTCGCAAACAGTAAAATGCTTTTTCACCCAAGGCTCATATCCCAATAGAACCGATCACCCTCAGGTTTGGATTTCCCTATCCTCTATCTAACCCAATTATAGATTCTATTATTCCCTAGCATGCTTCATATCCCACAGAAAATAAGCACCTTTGAAGTCACCTTTATTTAAAGGGACTCCACGGAGGTTTTTTTGACATGATGGGACTGAAAATATTTTTTCCAGATAAATGTACCATTTGATGTAGGTTTAAACAACTAATCTTTGTGCAAAATTTCAGATCATTCGCGCACTTCTTTTTTTCAAAATAATTAGTGAGACAATGTTTTTATTGTAACTCTCATGGTCAATTCTCAAAAACAAACCTGCAAGGTCTAATGACAAATTCTCAGTATGCATGTTTATAGGTGGGGGTGGACACAAGCTGCTCCTCAATATTTCATTTCACCAGAATATAACCACAGACCTATTAAACACCGAAAGTATAGTGAGTAATATCCATCCACTGTTTTCAAAAAAACCTTTCAAACAATAACAATTAAGTGATTTACTTACCATGGAAAGTACCGACTGCAATATAACGATGATTTGGTGATGGGACTACACAACGTATACCTCGTGATTGTTTATATACTGTGAACTGTTGAACTGATGATGAAATTTTCTGAAAAATCAAAACAAAGAAATACAACATGCGGATACAATATGACATGATACTAACATGATTTGAGCCGCGTCGTGACAAAACCAATGTAATGCGTTTGCGACCAGCATGGATCCAGACCAGCCTGCGCATCCGCACAGTCTGATCAGGATCCATGCTGTTCGCTATCAGTTTCTCTACTTGTAATAGTGTTGGTAAGCGAACAGCATGGATCCTGATCAGACTGCGCTGATGCGCAGGCTGGTCTGGATCCATGCTGGTCGTAAACGCACTATGTTGGTTTTGTCGTGACGCGGCTCAATTGATGTTTGTTTTCATACCAACACTGTTAAGGTCATATGGTAACTTTCCAACTTTACTTTAAAGGATGACTTCATACATTATTTCAGGTATGAGCAAACTCTTGAGAAGAACCACAGACCTTCCATAATTTAGCTGGATAGCTTCCTTAAGTGAAAGATTCCAAAGTTCCTGACAGGATTGTAATCAACAGCAGTAATCAACAGCAAACTTTAACCACTATGCCATGAGACACATGAGATAATATTGACATGTCATATTGTATGATTTAGTGGCATATTTCTGCCAACAGTTAAACATATAAACATAATAATCATCTACTAATCAATATACGGTATATTCCGAATCAATATATGGTATATTCCTGTGATCTTTATTTCACGAAAACTCTTACCAAAATTGGGTCACAAAATAGTCACACAATCTGCGCATGCGCAATTTTAACCGTTAAGGTATCGGATCCACGGGAAATTTTATCAGTATTAAATATGTGTGTATGCTATAGAATCAACTAGAGATGTTGTTTGTTCATTAAAGCATTAAAGTTATAGATTCCTGTATCCTACTGCTGTATTATCTGATATAAAATTTCCATATTTAATCTTTATGACATGTATCTATAAAAATATATCATTGATTAAAGGGTCTTCAAACAGCATATCAAGAATACTTCATCTTAAAACTAAATCTTTGGGATTTTCCATATAAAATTACAAGCGGTGGCCTAGTGGTTAAGGTGTCTGCCTCTCAACCCGGGGATCATGGGTTCGAGCCCTAATCGGGTCAGGACCATGTTTCTTCATATGACACCAGTACTGATTGGTTCCAGGAAGAGGACTCGAAAGAGATAAATATTATTTTGAAGTTGCAAGACCTTGTGTCACAATCAAGCTTAAATAAATATGCTTAAACCAAATTATAATCTTTTATACTCACTCCCCAATACTGTATCTCTCGTCGCATGAAGCGTTGGAACGCTTCTTTTTCATGTATAACTTCCGGTGTATCAATCAATGCAGGCTCTAAACTACGTAACTGTACAGGTGATATAGTGTTGAAATCTATGATAGTTAAATCAGGTGCATCTAAGTCTTCTCTGTAATATAATATAGCAATATACATGTATCATTATACACTCGTCACTTATACAAAAGATAAAAAAAAACTCCTGAAAACCCTAGAGTCATTCTTTATTTGTGATATTAGAGAAATATGGAAGGTAAAATCATAGTGATAAATATATATAATAGAAAATTGCTTGTTTTGGTATCTTTATGGTACTTAAAAAAATCCTATTTTGGTAAAATATGTACAAGTGAGATGCATGATTTAAAAATTATGTCAAAACCAAAGCTGCTTTGATGATTATTGAAATAATAAAAATTTAAAAATCTGGTAAGAAAATCACTTTTTAAATTGAAATATTTATTTTAAGTCAGAGGGACTTTAGTTTTAGCTTAAGTATGTCATATACATGTAAATTTATAATAAAATGTAAAGAATGTAAAGAAAATAGATGATACAATATGATAAAACACTACTGAGTTACTTTGTCTGAAATAGATAATACAATATTGAGCTATCTAGTCTATAATTAAGATGTGTGGATGTCAACCTTCTCCCAAATATGAATTTGTCCATGGAAACTAAAACCAATACAGAGTGAGCTCCCTATAAGCACAGAATGGCTTTATTCTAAACCAAAGG